ACGAATGATGACCCTTCGGGCATGTTATCAGGGTCTTGCATTTTAGTAGCATCAGCAGTGTTGACGCATACTCGAAACATTGTTGATTCGATGTCGTCGTTGTTTAGCGTTGTACCTGGAGGAACTGTTGAAAGTTTGCTGACTGGAAAGCACGATAATACATTAATACCAATATCAGACAAATATTCGACAACTTTACTTCTGCTGCATTTTTTAACGTTACTCATTGCGAATACCGATTTTTTTACTATGATTTTCTCGGCACAAAGTTTGTCGGTGGCGCATTTTTTTAGACCAATTATTTTATTAGGTTGATTTGGTGGATTTCCTTTAAGCGATGATTGATCGTTAGGGTTGACTTGGTTATGTATGTATGTATGTATGTATGTATGTATGTATGTATGTATGTATGTATGTATGTATGTATGTATGTATGTATGTATGTATGTATGTATGTATGTATGTATGTATGTATGTATGTATGTGGGGGCTTTTCGTCCGGGTTGATAATTAGAATTGATCAATGTAAAGATTATATAATCATACATGTTATGAGTTCAAACCTGTATGTGTGTATGCATGTACTAGGTTGATAATTTTTTCGTTTGTGCATGTTGGTTTTTATGTTTTAGGTACATAAGGCTTACATTTAAAATTTTTTATGCATAACATAATTGTGAAATTTGTGTTTTTGCTGGTAATCTATCAAAACAGTAAAATGAGTTACTGATTTTTTTTGTATTTTCATGCGGTTTCGGTTAACCGCGCAAACTCTCGTAAATCCATCTGAAGCAATGCATCACACACCTTACATGTGATAGTCGGGCATCTCTCTGCATTTGGATCCGGTCGCTGCAATATCAGGGCTATGCACCTTACCATTACATCATCGATTCGCCCATTATACATGCAGAGGATATTTCAATTTGTACATATTATTTTTCTTGTTTTATTTTACGTTGTTGTGCATGTACCGTACATGGTTTTGTAAGCAGAAAGTTTGCATGGGCTTTTAAGAATGTCTTTGTCACATGCTCGCATAAATCAGTACATTTGTGCTTGTACTAGAGGTTGCTAAGTGCTTGTGATGGATACATTATAACATTATTAAGAGATAATTGAGTATTGTTTTATTGCTATCGTTTTTATGTGCTAATGCCTCGTGATATGTAAATCAAAATTCTGATGTTTTCATTTAAAGATTGATTGCACTGATTTTTCAATTGGTTAATTAATTATATTTGTTTTTTTTTATTTGAAAGCAAACTTTATTTTTTAACAGAAAAACATTTTTTCTATGTTTTTAACGTTGCAATAATTACATGCATGGATTGTATTCATTTTTGCATAAAAAGTGTGTTTTCAAATCGATTTACAAACAAGCATATTCATTCCATTTAAGCATGTTCATATTTAAAAATGTATGCACTCATGAGTTCAAACATTTGTGTAGTATAATATTCATGGTAATGTTTAGTGCTGTGCATGCATTTAATGTATGCATTGTGTTATGCTGTTTCATGGGTGAAATTAACATCCATAGGCACATTAAATAGACATTGTGTACAACGTTGCGAGTTAATTAGAAATTTAATCATACAAATGTTTAGGTTTTTTTCCAATCAGGTAACCAGCCACACAATTGTTTAATATAACCTGTCTGTCATCTGACCATTTTACTTTACTGGTGTATGTTTAAAACTCTGTTTTGCGGGAGCTGTATACAGTTTTTAGTGTGCGTCCAGACATATTTCAGATCCAAGTGCATGCATGTATGTACATCATGAAACAAAAGAACGATTGGATTTTTTTTGCTTTTAATGAATGCTTTTAATGAAACATGTTTTTTACACAGCATAAATGTTTGTTTCTATTTGCTCATGTAATTGTTTTTTGTCTGTACACTGTTTTCAATGTACTGACTGAAAATGTTTCTGAATTTTATGTGCATAAATCGAAAACCATATATCAAACTTGTTTTTGTCTTCAGCATTGCAAAATATTGTTTATCTTAAATTTTTATGCATTACTTTAAAATTGTTTTATCTTATGCTTTCAAGTACTCTTGTTATGTTTCTCACTTTTGATGCAATGATGGCCACTATCATGACATGTAGCAGAAAATTTTTATGCCATTCACATTCGTTGAAACTTTCACACAGGTGCTCTAAAGACAACCGTGAATCCAAAAATTAACAATCTGATGCAAGGTTACATTATGGCCAAGCATGAACTCATCCTCATATCAGACAGTGGCCTCAAAAGTTTGAACTTTTTTTCATTTCTTTAATCCGCTGTTGTCTATTTCGTTCTTTTTATTTTTTACCTGTTAGCACGTATGCACACTTGTTTGTTTTGTTTTATCCGTTTGTTTATTTTTTTGTCGGCTTGTTTGTTCGGTTTTTGTATAAAAATAGATTTGCAGTTTAATTCATGAAATTTTACGAGGCTTAACATTGTTAACATTGTGCTTACGTTGTGACTCACAAATTGTTTGTCTGACATAGATGTTGGGATGGCGCAAAATGGTATTCAGATGAACCAAACTAAAACACAAATTTTACCGATAGGCACCTGGCAACAGTTGTCCAAAATAACTGCTAAGTCCATTAAAATCAATGACAATGTTATAAATTTTTCTAGTTCGGCGACTGTGCTTAGTTTTATTTTGTATTCCAAGCTGTCGATGAACCAGCAAATAAAGTCTTTATATAAATCTTGCACATTTCAGCTACGTTTGCTGAGAAAGACGAGAAAATGTTTAACTAAAGACACATTGAACTCTTTGGTTCCTTCTTTCATCCATGCTCGTTTGGATTTTTGTAATAGTTTTTGTTATGGAATATCAAAGCGTGATCTATTTATGTTGCAGTCAATTCAAAACAGGGCGGTTGGGTGTAATAGAGTTGACCATATAAACCCAATACTGAAGGAATTGCATTAGTTGCTGGTTGATAAGAGAATTATTTTTAAATCACGTGTATTAATTTATGTCTTTGAATAATGTTGCACCACATAATATGATCAATTTGTTTACTAATGATAGAACAAAGTTGTCAAAATATGAATTGAGGTCTGTTGATTCAAATTTTTTGTGTGTGCCAAAGACAAACCTCAAAATTGGATCTCGAAGCTTTGCTGTGGTCGGACCACGATTGCGGAATAGCTTTCCAAATACTTTGAGCAGTGGTGATTTTGCTCTAAGTCAATTTAAGAGGCAGCTGAAAACTTTCTGTTCAGCCATAATTAGCATTTAATAAATTGAAGCGCCTGTGACCATTGTTTTTTTCAAACGGTATTCGGTATTCATTGATATAAATGCAATGAATAATAATAATAATAATATACACACACACGATCGACAGAGACGTATTATTACTCAGATGTCCATGGTATGTTGACCTGCATCCGCAAATACTGAGATAATAAATGCACCAAGTTAGCAAAACAGGCATCAAATATTTAACAGTGTCCGCCCATAGGCTTATATTCTCGTTATGTATTTATTTGCGTCTGCCTTAGTCTTCTTATATTCCGTACATAACTATAACATACAGTTGATATAAAAGTATGTTGCATATAGCGGAGGTATGTTTAACATTTTCATGACTCACACAGCCATATCTGAACCAAAGTTCAGTTTGAAACGTGTCCGGTTTTCATTGGTGTTGTTGCAGCTGTTTTTATTATTATTATTGTTATTGTTATTAATATTATACTATTACTCATTATCTTCACATCGTTCATCGATTCCGAATTAGACTATTTGCTACAGCCTTTTTTTGAATTATCACAAAAATCCAAGTGTGCAAGTTACAAAATTATTCAGAATCGCGCAGCTAAGCTTATTTCTAGTGGATAAAAGTTGGACTATGTCAGTATATATACTGTGAACAACATGATAATTTTTTAAATTGCCATTCTTATGTGTTATTGTATAAATGGATTTGCACTTGATTATTTAACTAAGAGGTGCACCACTCGTTCTTTACCTCTTCACTCTTCTTCTCTACTTTTTCTCCACAAGGGCGGCAAGCACATTCTCAAGTCAGCCACCGTTTTTTGTGATATTGTCGCGATGTACCGCATTACTTTATTACAATTTTTGTTTAAATACATAGTATGAATAATTGTTCAATTATATTATAATGAGTAGTGTTGATTAAATTAAGGAAAATTGTGTTTCTGTGAAAAGTCAGCCAATAAACATCTCAAGTCAGCCACTACATTTTGTGATTTTGTCGCAACGTACCACATTTTTTAATTACAATATTTGATCAAATACTATTGTGAATAATTATTCATTTATATTATACAATTATTGTAGTATATCCTGAGTTTTATTTTATTAGTATCATTGATTGGTGTAACATTCCTTTTTATGATTTGTTTGAGGACGACTTCGTCTATTTTATGTGCCGTTGGCATATGATTTCTATATGATTTCTATAATTATGTCGTTGTCATTTTAGTTGTTGAATATATCGCTATCCTGCTCTAGTCTTTGTTGAATGGTTCTTTCATAGATTGTTGGTGGTTATTGGCATGCACACCTGTTCTTCATGTTCTTTATATGTAAATTTCATTTTTGTGTGTTTGTGTGTATACCTGCATATTTGTATTTTTTATTTTATATGCTTAGACATTTATCTCAATTCACATTTTTCATTTTCCTTTAGCAGTATTTTATATTTTCTTGCCTTGGTTAATTTATTATTCACAATCCTCCACTTTAGACATTCCATCTTCATCTGCCTGCTTGTCTCATCATCTTATCTATCTTCCTCATTTGCATTCATCAGCTTATTTTAATCAATTTCCGAGATGTTTTTAACTTATTGCTATAATAATAATTTCAAAAATAAGTGTTTCATTTTATATTTGTTTATCATCATCGCAAAATTTTTATTGAAAATATTCTTGTCTTTTTATAAAGTAATTTTCATCACCACATTTTACTGAACTTATTATGTATTGATTGATTGATTGATTGATTGATTGATTGATTGATTGACTGACTGACTGACTGACTGACTGACTGACTGACTGACTGACTGACTGACTGACTGACTGACTGACTGACTGACTGACTGACTGACTGACTGACTGACTGACTGACTGACTGACTGACTGACTGACTGACTGACTGATCGATCAATCGATCGATCGATCGATTGATCGATTGATTGATGACGATAATGACATTACATTACAGCTATTACATTACCATACATTGCAAACATTACTGCGCATTACACAACCTATACTACTTTTTGTCACATCAATTACATTTCATTATAAACAGTGAAAGAAGACACATTACAAGAGATGGTAATCAACCTTAAAGAGAACGTTGGTCTGGTCCATCAACTGCCCTTCGTTAGTGACCGGTCGGGTTTTGCTGCTGTTCTCGAGAAGGTTACAGCACAATTAATGAATGTTTATTGATCATTAAATATTTACTCAATTGCTTTTTCATAGTTTTTCTATGGTTCGTTGATACAACGAATTCATTATTTTTGCTGGTTTTATGTTTGCGTGTGTGCATATCTGTGTGTATCTCGTATCTTCTCGTATCTCTCTCTCTCTCTCTCTCTCTCTCTCTCTCTATGTGTGTGTTTGTGTGTGTGTTGTTCGTTGGTTCAATTATATGATAACTATGGTAAGCTGTACAACGTAGGAGGAATGTTAAATTGATGACTTTTTAACGGAAGTTTATGGTTTTATGTGATAATATATGTTGAGTGTGTTTTTAATATTAATAGTACTCCACCCTAATCATTTTTTATTCTGATTATCGTAATTTTCAACTTCAATAGATTGTTCATGCTAATATTTACAATTTGTTAATGCAGCATTGATAGTAAGCAAATTAGCATGTTTATGTCTCATTGTCCTGCTGCTGCTGTTTTGATGAGAATCAGTTTAGCACCATAATAGAGCGCTAAACGTTTACTCTTGCGTTTATTCTATTATAAGAATGAAAATAATACTAGGAAGTAAATGAACCAATTTTGCTAAAATGCTTTTTGCAACTTTCAAACGGATTTTTTGAAAACGTTCAAAAAATACTTTGTAGAAATTTTGTTAATATTTTTAATGAATTTCTTAAATTACATCAAAAAACTGGAATGCTTAAGGCCCACACATGTCTCTCCCTCCCACTAATAATTTTACGTATATTTTCTCCTATGTGTATGTTATTTGTATATTCAATTGTTTGTGAAAGTTGCTGCATTTTAGTTTTGTTCAGTATGTAATTAAGTTTATTTATATTTCAAACGATGGTTTTGTCCTTGTTATTTTAAGTTAAGTAACAGCTTATCTAAATATACATTGCTTACAACATGAAAAATACTTATTTTTAGCATACACTGCTAATTTGGTAATTAAGAATTACTTGAAAATGTTGTGCTATATTAATTTGGTAGTCAATGCATTTTCCGCAAGTCGTTTCAATGCAAAACCTACCGCCTCTTTAAACATTTATTTACTACAAGATGTTGTTGCTGTTATTAAATGCTACAAAATTTGAGCATTTTGATAGAGCATTATTCTTTTTAAAAACAACATATGCATATCAGCTGCTCAAAATATGACAGGCCAGTTTTTCAAGCATGATTTTACTAACCATTTAAAATAATAATCTCTCTCTTAACTCTCCATTAACCTTTCTCCGGCCCGTTTTGTGCACCAGTTAGTATTCTACAAAGACAAATACATACATACATACAATAATCAATAAGAAGAGTGGGAAGTTTTGAATGCTTTTTAGCAAGTAGTTAATACAAATTGAAGGTATGACACTAGTGATGTGTGTTCGCACTGAATGAATACATTTTACTTGGTATACTTCATCTCTGTATATACTTTATGCACGTATTTACGTATTTGTTGATTTTTTTTTTCGTAATCATTGGCAGTTTAATACAGTGAACAGCATTTATTATAATTACTTCAAAGCATAAACTGAATATATTTACTGTCATTGATCACATTGTTCAAATTGTAAATTTTTAATTTTAAAAATTTTTAATTCATAAAATTTACGTGGTGTATGTTGAACCAATATTTTGCCTGATTCATTCATATTCCAACATTTCAGACTTTTTAACTTTATTTTTATTGCTTTTGTATTTTTAATAGCATAATGTTTTATATATTCATATACATATATATATAAATAAATAAATAAATAAATATATATATATATTTTTACGATATTCTATAAATTCTACCGAATGTTTGGCGTTAATATGTTTGTAGTTCGTTTTTTCGATTTTTCTCACTAAAGTTTTTTGGTGAACGTTTAGTTTATTAAAATTCAAAATAAACTTATTTTTCGAATTCATGCTGCAAATAAGGCCATATTTCGATTCCGAATGAATCATCGTCAGTGCT